GGGCTAGAGTGAGCAGAGGCGGCGGGCTTGAGAACGGCGCGGCCGGCGATTTCGACGAAGGAGCGTCCGGAAGGACATGTGACGACCCCGGGCTGGACTTTGCTTCGTCCACGGTGAAAGCCGATCCGGCAATCCACAGCACAAAGTTGATGTATTTCCTCAGTGACCAGCACGGATCAGCTCTAGGCATGACGAAGCGGATATCGTCCTCTTTTGAAAGTAGTTTCGCTTTCACAACGAAGCACACAGCGTCTTCGGTACATGGCTGCAGCGTCAACAATACTACAGCGAGAATAAAAGTTATGCCTTCTTTCTTTGCGTGAACATTTGGGCGACGTTATGAAAATCTTCCCACAACGTGACGTAGGTATGTGGGGGCGTGTTAGAACGAGCCGTTTTAGGTAGGCGTGGTTAACTCTTAACTTTTATAAAGAATATCTCTTTGGTTTTGGGACTTTAGTCTTTGCAACTTTACAGATCTTCTTTATGCACCAAGAGCTTGTAACACTCCAAAGAGAAAGAAACAATTGAAATCGCATCATATGACCCCTTTAAGTTTTTTGCTAAATCAGCTGGTTTTATCTGGTTTTTAGCTTTTTTTGGCTAAATCAGCTGGTTTAAGCTGGTTTTTAAGTTGTTTGCTAAAACAGTTGGTTTTAGTTGGCTTTACCTGGTTTTTAGTTGTTTTTTGCTACATGAACTGTTTTTTTAAGCTCTTTTTTGCTAAATCAGCTGATTTTAGCAGTTTATCTATCTGCCTTTTAAAACTACTAAATTAAAACTGAACTATTTCCAACTGAGAACCTTCAAACTTCAAGCTTTCAAAACTACTTCAAACTTTCTGGCTAGGCTTTTCCAAGCCTACACTCTTAAAAATAAAGATGCTTAAAAGCTTCTTCACAGCGATGCCACAGCAGAACCATTTTTGGTTCCACAAAGAAGCATTCAGTCAAAGGTTCTTTAAAGAACCATCTATTTCTTACCTTTTTATAATCTGAAGAACCTTCTTTCACCACAAAGAAGCGTTTGTGAAACAAAGGTTCTTCGGATGTTAAAGGTTCTTTATGGAACCATTTAGACAAAAAAGTTCTTCTATGGCATCGTGAAGCACTTATTTTTAAGAGTGAACAAAGTTTGTCTACAAACTTTTTTATCTAGTATTAAAAAAAATAAAACACATCTAGTCATTTGTGACCCTGGAGCACAAAAGCAGTGTTAAGTCAAAGGAAAATTGACCCCTATGACTGGTTTTGTGGTCCAGGGTCACATTTAAGAACTGTTGAATCTTAGTGAATGTGGGTGAAAGAGGGTTAAATGGCACATGTAATGTGTGGTGATGCAGATGCCTGACCTGATGACCATGTTGCAGTGGCCGCACATGGGTGTGCGTGTTCCCGCCGGGATGTGTTCGGCTCTCTGCACCAGCGAATCGTCCCGGTCGCTGGGGTGAGCCTGAGGAGCGGGTCGATCCGGGCCCTTGCTGCTGACCCGTCCGATCGAGGGGCCCGTCTGCGGCGCAGGTGCACCTGCTTTGGGAAACCCTAATCAAAGAGAAAGAGATCTCAATCTGGCGACCCCTCGTTGAACCTCACCCACAACAGCGCCTGTGTTACTGAAGAGCGCGGTAATGAGATCGCGGTATTGTGCGCGGCTATGTAGCGTGACCGAAGGTGATGGAAAGTTCTGGTTAAGATATATGAACTCTATCTCTTCTGAAGGGACGGGACATCCACACCGTGCCGCCGCAAAACAATGGATCGGTTTACTCAGGACGGGAAAAAAACAACATTCCCAGAAGCGGAGGAGACACCTGGCAAAATAATCCCAGACAAGCCTTCCCTTCTCTGGCCGCCTCCGGAGAGACAGCGGGGGTCAGAGGTCACGCAGCGAACGCACCCCGAGAAATGAGTGTGTGTGAGACGAACAATGTGATGAAGATGTGTGTGTGTGTGTGTGTGTGTGTGTGTGTGTGTGAGACGGACAACTTCATCACATGAAAAATCTGCATTTGATAATGAAGCTCTGGAGTTTCTGATCATAAATCAGATTAACTGTCTAAAAATGTGTGCATATATTTTTTTAAATCAAATCAACAGAAATTTTAATTTAAATCAACAGGATTTTATTAACCTAAAATTAAAACCTTCTAAACCTTTCGGTAAAAAAATGTAGTAAACCTAACTGGACACTAAAATACTAAAATACTGTTTAATGTACCGTCTTTGGAAGTGAAAAAGAACCATTCATTTTTTTAAATCAACATCATGAATTAAGAAATTATATTATTATATCAAATAATTAAAATATTTTAAAAGAAAAAATTAAGTGTATTTTTAATTATAATTATATTAACATTAATGCATTCATTTATTATAGTAATAAATTAATCTATGTTTTTAATTAAATAAGTACATTATTTTTTTTAATTATAATACCTTTTTTGGAAGTGACAAAACAAAAAACAAAACAAAGAAAAAGTGACAAATCTTTATTCATTCATGCATTCAACATCATAATTTTATTAACTTACAAAAATGAAACTTTTAGGTAAAATGTACCTAAAAATTAATCTGAAAAATGTACCTAAAATTAACCCAATAATTAGGGATGTAACAATTCACTCATTTTCTCAATAAAGCTGCCAATTCACTGTGTGGTCACTTACTGAAACACATGAATTCATCAGATAATATTGCAATATTTGGATTAACTTATTTTACTGACATAGTCAGGAAAAACCTGGAAATCATAGGGAATTTTAAAATGGTTATTTCCAGACCAAGAAAACTCATGGAAATAAATTAAATTGAAATAAAACAAAATAAATATTTTTATTAATATTTAATAATAAATAAAATGTAAATGTGTATTTTTGGCACATTGCACTCTGTTATATTCCAAGTAGCCTGTGTGTAAACTGATTTAATGTGTTTACCTTAAAGATGCTTAGTGCAATAAATATCTTACGCAGTATCTGTCTTTTCCTTTCTTCACTAAGACACATTAGGAAAAGCATTTACATTAACCTAAAAATATACAGAATCTAATATAATCAAACTGTGAATCATGAATGTAAATGTAAATTGTGAATCAGATCGAATCGTTCTGAATTTGCAGAAATGAACTGATTCGCCGTCTTCCCAAAGACTCGCACCCCTACTTAACTTCGCAAACCGCACCAAAGATAAATCTGAATATAAATATGAACATGTAAATATTACCAAATCAACTGGAAGAATATATAAGATGGTTAATGTGATTGTCTAACAGAACTGAATCAGAATCTGATCTCTCCAGAAGCAGCAAATCAGGTTAACTGTCTAAAAATGTGTGCATATATTTTTTTAAATCAAATCAACAGAAATTTTAATTTAAATCAACAGGATTTTATTAACCTAAAATTAAAACCTTCTAAACCTTTCGGTAAAAAAATGTAGTAAACCTAACTGGACACTAAAATACTAAAATACTGTTTAATGTACCGTCTTTGGAAGTGAAAAAGAACCATTCATTTTTTAATTTTTCATGAATTAAGAAATTATATTATTATATCAAATAATTAAAATATTTTAAAAGAAAAAATTAAGTGTATTTTTAATTATAATTATATTAACATTAATGCATTCATTTATTATAGTAATAAATTAATCTATGTTTTTAATTAAATAAGTACATTATTTTTTTTAATTATAATACCTTTTTTGGAAGTGACAAAACAAAAAACAAAACAAAGAAAAAGTGACAAATCTTTATTCATTCATGCATTCAACATCATAATTTTATTAACTTACAAAAATGAAACTTTTAGGTAAAATGTACCTAAAAATTAATCTGAAAAATGTACCTAAAATTAACCCAATAATTAGGGATGTAACAATTCACTCGTTTTCTCAATAAAGCTGCCAATTCACTGTGTGGTCACTTACTGAAACACATGAATTCATCAGATAATATTGCAATATTTGGATTAACTTATTTTACTGACATAGTCAGGAAAAACCTGGAAATCATAGGGAATTTTAAAATGGTTATTTCCAGACCAAGAAAACTCATGGAAATAAATTAAATTGAAATAAAACAAAATAAATATTTTTATTAATATTTAATAATAAATTAAATGTAAATGTGTATTTTTGGCACATTGCACTCTGTTATATTCCAAGTAGCCTGTGTGTAAACTGATTTAATGTGTTTACCTTAAAGATGCTTAGTGCAATAAATATCTTACGCAGTATCTGTCTTTTCCTTTCTTCACTAAGACACATTAGGAAAAGCATTTACATTAACCTAAAAATATACAGAATCTAATATAATCAAACTGTGAATCATGAATGTAAATGTAAATTGTGAATCAGATCGAATCGTTCTGAATTTGCAGAAATGAACTGATTCGCCGTCTTCCCAAAGACTCGCACCCCTACTTAACTTCGCAAACCGCACCAAAGATAAATCTGAATATAAATATGAACATGTAAATATTACCAAATCAACTGGAAGAATATATAAGATGGTTAATGTGATTGTCTAACAGAACTGAATCAGAATCTGATCTCTCCAGAAGCAGCAGGTCAAAGGTCACAGTCTGAAGGTCAGAGGATGCAGCAGGTTTCAGATAAGATGAGCTGAGGAGGAAACGCATGTGACGCGTGTCAAACGGGTCTGTGGGAACTTGTTAGTAGGCAGATCGTGAGGTCGACAACTGAGGGCTCTTCTTTACAAAAACAGGGTTTGGCAGGCCAAAAGATGTCAAATACTACACTAAACTAGTCTAGAGGTGCGTCCCAAATCGCGTACTTATGCACTATTCTATGACGTTTTGTAGTATAAATAGTGCGAGTAGTGCGTTCACACTGAAAATTCCAAAAAGAAACAACCGAAAAAATGAAGTGTGGAATGTTGGACACTTCATGCACTCAACTGTCGCAGCTTTAATTACATAGCGAAGGGGGAGGGGCTACCAGACTCCGATTATGAATGACAGAATAACCTTATATAATTCATACACTACATGATTGAGTGCATAGTGCATAAGTACATAGTGTATAAGTGCATAGTGCGTCATTTGGGACGCAGCTTTAGTCTAGTGAAATTTAAGATTGTTAAACATTTTAAATATGTATATTATATTCAAATATTAATAATTTATAATTTAAACATTTTAAAGTTAAAATTAAGTGTATTTTTCAATTAAAATTATATTAAATAAAATATGAATATATACATTTTATGATAATAATAAAATTAATTATAATATTAATCATATTATCTTTGTAATACCAATTCATCATTTTATAAATATATATTTTTAAATTTTCTGAAAACAAGCTTAACAGGTGATTTCTTTCTCATTTATATATATATCAGTGGTGGGCCGTCAGGGCCAGCAAAGCCTTCTCTGCTGGCCTAAACACTATCAGAATCACTGATTTAGTTTTAATATATTTTTCCATGAATGTGTATTAAATTATTTCCAATAGTCTATTCTCTTCAGTTCATAACTTTTCTCTTGGTTGCACTGCTTCCAGCAGTGTATGTTTATATTAGAGCTTTTATCCAATCATATTTCAGCAATCGTTGGTATGAAGAGATGGATTAATTCATGTAGGACGCCACTGAAGGCCTAGGTGTAAAATGCACGGCCCGCCACTGATATATATATATATATATATTTATATATATTTACAGAAAATCTATACAAATAACTTATGATACTAATACTAAGAATAAGTTTTTTTGTTTATAATATTATTTCATTAAATGTGTTTAATGTTTTTTGGTTATAATATTATTTGTCACAGAATTATGGCCAGACATTTTGAAAACTAGATATTAGATACTAAAGAATATTAGTATAAAAAATTGCAGACAATCCACATGGACTGTTCTAATACTCTACTTGATTTATACAGTGCCTTGCAAAAGTATTCATAATTTTTTCACATTTTGTTATGTTGCTGCCTTATGTTAAACTGCTTTAAACTACTTTTTTCCCCACATCAATCTACACTTCATACACCATACTGACAAAGCAAAAACTGAATTCGTAAATTTATTAAAAATAAAAACACAGAAATAAGTACATTGCATAAGTATTCATACCCTTAACTAAATATTTCACTGAAGCACCTTTACAGTCTCAAGTCTTTTTTTGTTTAATGCGACAAGCTTTG